TCCCCTTTAATATTTCTTGCGGGGCTAGTTTAGTGTTCACGAATTCTTTTAGTTTCTGTTTGTCCTGGGAACTCTTTATCTCTCCTTCCATTCTGAACAACAGCCTTGCTGCATAAAGTATTCTTGGCTGCATATTTTTCTCATTTAGTACTCTGAATATATCATGTCAGCCCTTTCTGGCCTGCCAGGTCTCTGTGGATAGTTCTGCTGTTAATCTAAGATTTCTCCCCCTCTACGTTAGGAATCTCTTATCTCAACCTGCTTTCAGGATTTTCTCTTTATTTTTGAAATTTGCTTTTTGAAAAAGCTTCACTATTATATGGTGGAGTGTTGATCTATCTTTATTAATTTTCAGAGAGATTCTCTCTACTTCTTGGACTTGAATGCCTGTTTCCTTCCCCAGATTAGCTATGATTTGCTCAAATATTATCTTCTCTCTCTCTCTTTATTCTTTTTCAGGGGCCCCAGTAATTCTAAAATTGTTTCACATTATTGTATCTCTGATTTCTCAAAGCCTCCCTGCATGGTCCATCAATTGTTTTTTTTTTTCTCATTTTCTCAGCTTTCTTCCTTTCCATCATCTAGTCTTCTATTTAATTTACCCTCTTGTGCTTCATCTACTCTAGGTATTAGAACATCTATTTCAGACTGCATCTCAGGTAAAGCACTTTTAACTTCAGCTTGATTATATTTTATTTCTGCACTAAGAGATTCTCTAGTGTCTTTTATGCTTTTTTCAAGCCCAGCTAATAACTTTATAATCATTATCCTGAATTCCAACTCTGACATATTACTTATATCCATACCAATTAGATCTGTGGTTCTTTCATTGTGAATTATCTCTAGTCATTTTTCCCAGAGAAGAATGAAGAGAACAAAAGCAAAAATATCAATCACAACCTACACAAAATACACACTAGACAAATCTGAAGGTGTCAGAAACCAAAAAAGAAAAGAAAAAGAGGGCAACCCTGGTGGCGCAGTGGTTTAGCGCCGCCTGCAGCCCAGGGTGTGATCCTGGGGACCCTGGATCGAGTCCCACGTCGGGCTCCCTGAGTGGAGCCTGCTTCTCCCTCTGCCTGTGCCTCTGCCCCCCCCCCTCTGTCTCTATGAATAAATAAATAAAATCTTTAAAAAAAGAAAAGAAAAGAAGAAAAGAAAAGATAAGAAAAAGAAAAAAAGGGGGGAAAGAACATAACCTCCCAAGTGGACACAACAGAGTGTTCCACTTGGTCCTGGGTGTATTTTGGTATATTTGTTAGAAGACACTAAATCTCAGAATTGAATACACTGAAAGAAAGCCAAAAATGAATAAAATATCTATAAAATGCAATTGTAAAAAATGAAAGTGAAAAAAAGGCTTACAAACAAAGAGTTGATAAAACAAGAAACTAGTTGAAAAGGAAAACTTTAAACTGAAAGATAAAAGAAACATGAGGGGGAAAAAATCCCAAAATCTATATACTATTTTCCCCTAGTGCTAGAGTTTTGCAGTTCTGTGTGCCTGTAAACTCAGTATCCACCTCATGTTCCAGCTGGTCTTCTAGAGGAAGGGCCTGCTGCTCTGATTGTCGGGTGTCTTTGCCAGGGTGGAGTTGCATTACCAGGGGGCCAGGCTCAGTGTAAGCTGCTTCGGGTTGCTCTATGTGGCTTTTGTTCCCCAAAGGCCTTACTTGCTGCTTTAGAGGATGAAAATAAAAATAAGTGCACTCCGGAGCTGAAAGATCACAGCCCTTCTTTTTAACAAACCCTGAGGGAAAAGTAGTCTGCACCTCTGTGTGCACCAAACTTTGCAGATGCCTACGGAGCACAGCCGCTCCAAACCCCCTGGAGGTGGGGAGGAAGGTCACCACGGGCCTGCTGCTTGCAGGGCTCCCCAGAGAGAGTCGTCAGCTTGTGACACACTTTGTGGTTTATGGCAAACTGAGAGCCCACTCCTGGATTCCCTGACCATAGCTGGTTTCCCTGCCCCAGTAGTTGAGAACTCTGCAGCTCAAGCACCCCCCTTCTTTGTGTGGCCCCAAGGATCCTGAGGCCACACTGTTCTACCTGGTACTCTGCCCTGCTTCGCCACTTGAGCGCCTTCAGGGAGGGATGTCTCTCACTGGAGCAGACTTCTAAAAGCTCTGGTTCTGTGCTCCGGAGCATTATCACTTAATAGGAGCCAGCTTACAGAGGCTCGCTCCCCATCGCCTTTGTCTTCTCATATGTCCCTCAGCTTCACTCTGCCACACCTCCTACCTTGCAAAAAGTGGTCACTTTTCTATTTGTAGAATTCCAGCAATTCTTTTCTTACATATCAGGTTGAATTCATAGGTGTTCAGAATGATTTGAGAGTTAAGTAGCTAAATTTAAGGGACCAGATGAAACGAGGCCCCCTACTTTTCTGCCATCTTGCCTCCCTCCCTCTCTCAACTAACCAGGGAGACAGCATTTCATATATTAATTAAGTCAACCTTCCACCACCATAGGTTCTCTTAGATGCAATGGTGCATGTGTCTAGCCCCAAGCAAGCAATATGGCTCATTGGTAGGTGACCATATAACTTTTCATCTAAACTAGAGTACTTGAAAATGACAAAGGTGTTAATCAGAATTCATGGACCATGACTCATAGGGATAACAACAAGTTCCACTTTTAGGGACAGTGGGCTAATTTGTCTCAGACCTGCTAATAACAACTAGATGAACTGGGAAAAAAATTAACCTATTTGAAGATACTGGATCTATATCAAGGCAAGCCTTGACGAGTCAAGTTTCCAGAGAGGCAGGCGGCCTAGAGAGGTGAACCTGGCACATCTTACACTTTTTCCTTGAGACACTGTTTGATTCCCCAAACATCGGTTGAGAGGCTGAAAAGCTGAGCATATCCCCCAGCAATTTATGAGATGGAGGGAAAGAAATTGCAGTTCATAGACTACCAAGGTAGAGGAGGGGCCATAGCAATTTTAGGCTTTCAACTGGGACCCAAAGGGCTATCCCCTAGAAGAGAAGGTAAACAAGAATTAGACTTGCTCTCATAAGAAACAAAGCCCAGCTTTGAATCATATTACTTTCTGGAAGCAAAAATAAATCTGTCTGTATAGTTTCAAATGATTTAAATCATGTTTTCATAAATAAATTGGATTGAAAAATGATTAGGCATACCAGAAGGTATTACTTTACTGAAACCATGAGAAAAACAGACAACAGAACAGATACATAGGAGATTAGACATTAAGCCTCTTAAGCATAGCTTTGAAATAACTATAATATGTTCAAGGAATTTTTTAAAAAATGGAAAATTTTGGCCAAAAAAGGGAAACTATGGAAAAGAATCAAATGAAAATTCTAGAACTAAAAATCATGAAATCTGAAATTAAGACTAGTTTTTTTTTAATTTTTTTAATTTATTTATGATAGTCACAGAGAGAGAGAGGCAGAGACACAGGCAGAGGGAGAAGCAGGCTCCATGCACCGGGAGCCCGATGTGGGATTCGATCCCGGGTCTACAGGATTGTGCCCTGGGCCAAAGGCAGGCGCCAAACCGCTGCACCACCCAGGGATCCCCAAGACTAGTTTTAACATCAAATTAGACAAAGCTGCAGAGAAAATTCATAAATTATGAAGAAAAAATTATCCAAAAAAGAACAAGACAGTTATGAAGAAAATACCTAATTTTGTATAACAGAAGTCCCAGAAGAGAGAGAAAATGAAGATGACAGTTGCTTAAGATTTTCCAAAACCAATTAAAGACTTCAAGTCACATAGTGAAGGGTGCAGACAAATGTAAGTAGAATAACAGTAGAAATAAAACCACACCTAGCCAAATCTTAGTGAAGTTGAAGAAAATGAAAAAATAAATCTTAAAAGAAGCCAGAAGAAAAAGACATTTTACCTTCAAAGGAACAGTAATTTTATTTATCTCTGGCTTCTTAATAGAAACAATGTATACCAGATAATCATCAAAGAAAATAACTGCCAACCCAGATTTCTACATATAATACAAACAGCCTTCAAAATATTGATGAGCTAGACACATTTTCAGGTAAACAAAAGGTTAGAGAATTTGTTAACAACATAAAACCTGCAACAAAAAAAGTACAAATAGGTGTTCCTTAAGCAGAGGAAATGATAAGAGAGATAAAGCTCAGAGACAGAGAGGAGAGAAAAGCAACAAAAAGAAAATTATGTGCATAAATCTAAACGACTTCATACAATAAAAATAATAACCTGTGTGTCTAAAATATATATAGCATTAAAAGAAATAACAGTTCTGAAGAAAGAAAGGGGAAAATTCAACTAAACTGTTCCCAGGTGCTTTCTTTGCCTTGGAGCTGGCAAACACACTAATTTATATTAGATATTAATAATTCTAAGGTGAAAAGTAGTTTCTATGGCCAGCACTAGAAGAAAAGTGAAAAATGCTTAACAAGCTAATACAGGAGAAAATGGAATAATAAAAAATACTGCCAATCAAAAAGAAGGAAAAAAAAAAGAAAGAAGAGAAAAAGAGCCATAGGACAGGTAGGACAAGTAGAAAGAAGGTAACAGGATGGTAAATTTAACAACAACTATCAGTAGTTATATTATACGTAAATAAGCCAAATACCTCATTTAAAAGACAAGAATTTTCATGACGGATGAAGACAAAAGACAAAACAAACTCTAATTATGTACTGCTTACAAGGTATGTTCCTAAGGCAAATGAATCCAGAATAACTGAAAGTAAAAAGATAGAAAAGTACATATTATACAAACACCAACCAAAAGAGAGCTGTGATGTTCACAGAAAGGAAAAATATTCCAAGATCACTCTTTGCCTCACATGAGAGGTGTGTAGTTAGTTCCTTGTCCCTTCGCTAGGATGCAAATGCATGGAAAAATTAAACAGGACCTTATTCAACTTTATATCCCATGGTATCATGCAAGCTGTAGCTACTCAGACTATGTTTGCTCCACAGACTCGCAAAGTGAGATAAGAAATATGTAAATATGGTGGAAAATTAAAGGAGCACTTACCTTTTTAATATATTTCAGGTATCTTTTATCCTGATGATATGAACCATATTCATTCTCAACCTGCACAGCAATGATGGGGCCTCCCTTTGCATACTGAGGGTCAAGGAGATGAGAGTTTGAGAGTGAAGTTACTGGTGGGAAAGGCTGGATTTTCTCAAGCTGCTGTTGCACACACATATTTAGAGTGCCCTAAAAATAACATATTCCTAAAGTCAACTCCAAATTACACTATAGTTCAGGCAATTTCTCTCACTCCGCAGTCAGCAATCAATTGCTTGTAGAATCCTACCTTTTCTAGTACTCCCTGTCAATGGACTCCCACCCTTTTCCCTCCTAATTCAATGCATTAAGCATGATGCTTCAAACCTCCACTTTCATCCTTTCTACCTTAGCACCAGTTACATGAGTCAAGTGTCATCCTAAAGGTTGTCTCACCTCCTTCCCACTTCTCAGGAACTTCACTCTTTTTGGAGTACCCTTCTGTCTTCTGTGTCATCATCTCCTTTTTTACTAAACCTTTCCTATCATCATTTAGGACTCAAATTCCTCTGTTAAAATTAACTTGTTTGGACCACTTCCTTCTCCAGTTCCCATTATTTTGCCCTTTTCACTTAGACAAACTCTAAAATATTCCTGTACTCACTCTTGACTTCTTATTCTCTCATTTCCTCTTTTACTTACTTCCATTCTTTCCATTCCACCTACATTATTAACATTACCTTCTCTTTGCTAAGTACAAACAATACATTTTAATCCTAATTTACTGTCTCTCTGAGCAACATTTGACATTCTTGGCCTTTCCTTCTGGAAACTCTTCTGGATATTCATGATAAAATGCTTCTGGGGCCTCCCAACCTCCCCCTCCTCCTCCTCCTCCTCCAGCCCTGATTTTGTGGTCACTAAGCAAGGTTCTGATTACTAATTTAGTTTTCCAGCAGTTTCAAGACTGAGAACTCTGATTTGGAGTGGGCTGAGTAATCGAGTTCAATGCTGTCCAGCAGAACTTTCTGATGATGAAAATATTCTGCATTTGCATTGTCCAATATCATAGCAACCATCAACATGTGCCCACTGAGCACTGAAAATGTCTAATATAAATGAGGAAATGAGTCTTTAATTTTATTTGATTTTAATTAAGTTTAAATAACTGCATGTGGCTGTGGCTACTATGCTGGACAACACAACTCTAATCTTAGTAAAGGATGATCTCTACAACCCCAACAGCACACTGATTGACACTCTTAAGTCACTTAGTGGTTTTGATGGCTTTCCTGAGTCTGATTAACTCTGAGATACTCACAGTGTTAGGAACCAACTCTGCCCATAATAAATTCAGATTCACACTCTGTGAAACCCTCTTCTAGCCACATACAAGTTTGCTATTGCCTCTATTCACGAAATATGCTACGCAAACGTTGATTACCTCTTAGAAAGCTTAATATGCAATAGATATTATAGCTTTGCTCCTTCCCTCTGTTCATTTCCTACCTAGTATATAGTCCTTTTTATATCTTTCAACCATTTTAGAAATACAGTAGCACTAAGCGATGATTATGTTCCCCACCACGATTTTATTTGGTGGAGGGATGTTAAAAAAACAAATGAATTGCAACTTCTATAAAACTGCTAAGGTCACCCAGACCTAATCTATTATGTGTGAAGGACTGCCAAGTAGCTACCTTTAGCAGCCAAATTAAAACATTTTGAAGACTAACATTAATTTCCCATTTATGGTTACTGAGGGCAAAGATATAATGGAGAAGAGTAAACAAAAATATATAGAATGCAATTTCAAGTCCACTGCCAAGGAAAAGGCTTCCAGTTGGGCAGTAGATAGGAAATAGGCACAAAAGCAGGGTAATAAAAATCTAGTAGTTCTTAAATAAGGAATTGGAACAACCTGCTATACACACTTCCTATTTCTGTATGGCAGGAAATAGGCTAGCCCTTTCCAGGAAATCAGTTGAGGCCATTATTTCCCTTGGTCACAGGAATGGGGAACTGGGATTTACCTGGAGTTGTACTATCATGGGAATTATCTTATCAAAATAGTGATTCACTGCTTTAGTGAAGCCCTTGTAAGTTGTTCTCAGCTTCATTTTTGGATCCCGGAGTAACCAGCTAGGATTGAAAAGGTAGGAATCACTCTTGGGGTGGGAAAAAGCAATAAGAAATACTCAAACATGAGGCTGGAAAACAAATACAGTCACACGGGAACAGTATATTGTGACATCTTAATTCATCTTTAAGAAAAAGCAATCTATGTTCTAGTTGCAAATAGGTCAGCACCTGAGCCACCACCTCTATCCTCAATACACACATCAGAGTTGTGTAATAATGAAATGATCCTGAGCAGAGTAATCAAACTGCAGCCCACAGGCCAAATCAGAGCCATTGTCTGTTCCTGTAAATAAAGTTGTATTGGAACACAGCCATACCCATTTGTTTACATATCGTCACAGCTGTGTTCATGCTACAACAGCAGGATTGAGTAGTCACAACAGACAGTGTATGTGGCCCTCAACACTGAACATGTGTATTATCTGGCCTTTTACAGAAAAGGTTTATCAACCCTTAGTCTGGATGGAGCTTTTATAAAGCTGTTTCAAAGTTTTTTTAAGACACGTTCTTTGATGGAACAATATTTGGCCATAAAAGAGGAATGAAGAACTACGTGCTATACCATGGATGAACCTTGAAAACATTATGCTAAGCAAAGAAGCTACTTTAAAAAAGGTCACATATCCTATAATATTCCATTTATATGAAATGTACACAATAGGCCAACCGACAGGGTCTGAAGGTAAACTGGTGGTTGCCAGGCGCTGGGGGAAGGAACAATGGGAGTTGACTGGGAATAGGGCTTCCTTTCGGGTGATAAAAAGTCTGGCCCTAGAGAGTGGTGATGGTTGTTCAGCATTTTTTATGTACTTAACTGCCACAAAACGGCACATTTTCAAATGGTAAATTTTTATGTTATGTGCATTTTACTACAATAAAAAATGATTCAAAGCTAACAAAAGGGAAAACCTCTCTTTAAAGAGAGATAATCAACCCAATTTCTTACTATCTCTACTGCCTCCACAAAAACTAGAACTCACAAAGATAGTGCTTAAGTGGCTGCCACTAGTTTTTACTTAAAGTACTGTATCTCATTTGTACTGCAGAAATGAGATGGAGGTTTAAATAAAACAAATACATACTATATAAATCCCAATATATCAAAATTCATTTTCTAGGTCATTAAATGGGGAAAAAATAGTGTAGTTTAAAAATGTACACCGAAATCCAGCACAACCCCTTTGCTCTAACCTCCCCCGAGTATGCCCGGGGGCCCACGTGGAGCCAGGGGCCTGGGTGACACTCACCTGGGCAGGCCTCCAAGGTCCAGGTCACCGCCAACATAGGGGCCGGGACACAGGATAACCCACAGCCCTGCCTCCGAAGCCATGGCTACGAAGGTCCTGCAAAGCGGAGCAACGAGGTCGTGCGGCCTCCCGGCTGGAGGCCCAAGGCGGGGGTGCAGCGGGGCCTGGGCCAGGCCCCCCTGCCCTGGGGCCTTACAGACCTGGCTCTCCGACCCCTCCATGTCTCCTACTTCCAGTCACCAAACCACGTTTATTCCTTTATTCCTCCTGCTTCATGTTTTCACACGTGAGACCTAGTTTGCGGCGCTACCAGGTTTACTGAGGGCCGCAGGCTGGCACCGGGCCTAGGGCGCCGCTTCCTGACTGGCTGCTCCCCTTCCTTCCTTCTCCCCTTCTCCCCCTGTCCCCCCAGTCACATCAGTCATCATCACCGACAGCAGAGAGAAGAGTGCTCTTCTACCTTGTCTCGGCCTCTGGAGCAACGGCCTTCCTTAAGACTATTTTTTTGGACAACTCAGTGAGGGGAGTATCGATATCATCTCCGTCTTACAGATCAGGACATAAGCTTCAACGAGCCAGAGCTTCCTGCAGATCACATTTTCAGTAAACAGAAGAACTAAAACCACAAGCAGGCAGAAAGCTTCCAGAAGTGAAATATCAACTACATGTTAATCCACCTCCTTCAGATGCTGCTAGCACAATCTTTCTAAATGCACAAACCTGCCAAATCAAAACTCTTCAAATGACTCCCAGTGACTTCAGGAAAGATCCCAAATTCTGGTGCATGGTAAATATAAAGAAAGATGTGGTCTATCCTTGCTTCCGCTTTATTTTGTGGCATTTTCTCTATTTAAACCAGCAGGAGAACCACACAGCGTTATTTGCAGTTCCCAGAAAATACCTGTGGCAGAAAGTTAATCGCCAAAGCCATTCCCTTTCCTTCCTGGGCAGAGAGCTCAAGCGCATTTTGCAGCCCCCCCATGCGTTGAGGTGTTGCTCTGTGACTGACTTCAAGCCAACAGAATGTGAACAGGAGCAGAGCATCCCAATGTCCTGAAAACACTCTCCCTGCCTTTCTTCTGCTTCTGGCTTGACACAGACAAGAGTAGCAGCCTCCACACTGTGATGAAGATGATGAAGCCACAGACAGAAAGACCTTGAATCTCTCAATTACTCCTGGGAAGAAAGACACAATGCTTACCAGGAATTCCTACTTTAGATTTTCCCTAAATGAAAAGAAACCTCCGTTGTTAAAGACGCTGAGGCTTACTTGTTACAGCAGCTAACACCACCTTAACAAACTCAAAAATGCTTTCTCACGTTGCTGACTTTGCCCTCGCTGGATCCTCTGCCTAAAACACCACTCAGTCCCCTCTAGCAAACTCCTGCTTAACATTTCAATTTACTTCAGCTATGACTTCACTGTCCTCTTCCCTGGGTTGTGTGTTCTTAGTATGTTATTTGTCTCTCCCTCAGAGAATACTTAGCCTTGACAGCACAAAGTGCTTTATCTGTCCATCTCTTGCACGAAAGTCAACGTCTGAACTCTAGCAGATAGCTAATGCTTATTTTAGAATAAACAACTATAGATTTTCCTGAACTTAAGATGGGCTTACATCCCAATAGGTTCATCATACATTGAAAATATTTTAAGTAAAAAATGTGTTTAATGCACCTAACTGGCTGAACATCATAGCTTAGCTTAACCTACTCAACAATGAGCTCAGAACACTTACAGTAGCCTACAACTGGGCGAAATCAGCTAACACAAAGCCTATTTTATAATAAAGTGTAAAACGTCTCATGTAATTTATTGAGTACTATACTCAAACTGAAAAACAATGGCTGTATAGGTACAGATGGTTGTATATCACGGTCTACTCTCATGACTGCCAGCCTGACTAGGTACTATAACTAGTGGCTACTGTCCAGTATCATAAGAGTACAGAGTGCAACATATTGTTAGCCTGGGAAAAGATCAAACTTCAGAATTTGAAGCACAGTTTCTACCAAATGCTCTCACTTTCACACCATTGTAAAGTCAAAACATCGTAAGTCAAACCGTTGTAAGTTGGGGACCATCTAGACTCTGTACCACATATTAGAAGCCTTCCAAATTATAGGCCAGAATTATCCTCTTATAACTGAGAAAGTAGGCTCTTCATAATAAACCACAGCATGTAGACTTTCTAAACCATACGGTTCATAAAATGCACCACAGACGCTATAGTCTAAGCTCCACTGCAAATAACAGATTCACTGCGCCAGAGGGTTTCAATCCTGGGAACAAAATGATCAGATCTTCCTGATGATTTCTCAAACAGAAAGTAAGGTGCCCTTGTGCAACTTATCCCACAGAGTCTAAACCCTGTCTTCAAGCCATAGAAACAGGCAACTTCAGCATTAAGACATACACGAAATCCAGGTTTGCAGTAAAATAAAACCAGCCTTTTCTTGGCTCATGAAGGTTCCAAGGAATATGCCTGCAATGGAAAAAAGAGAAACATAAAAACCTTTTATTTGCCCTCATTCCATATTGATTCCTCCAGTTTTAATATAGCACCTGGGCTACCTCTACTGTGAAGGAAACTGAAGATTTCAGTAGCCAAGCCCCTTTCTGTGTGTAAATGAACTTTGTATTAAATTTAAAATTTCCCCTTTCAAATGCCCAGTGCAGATTCAAGCAGCCAATACTGTTCCTTGATGCTGAACTTCAAGTGAGAAAGATGTATATGTAACACCCTCTGGAGTGTAACCACAAATTTCTTTTTTTAAATACTAATCAAAACATATGAAAAATTTAAATACGTATCTATAATGGCAAAAAAAGAAAAACCAGAAACTGTTTTTATAACAGAAACCAGAAAGAGCTAAAAAGTTTATAGAACTAGATTATACAGTTTTCTTTAAATGAATAAAATGAAATCCAGCAGTCAACAATACAAGATTCGCAATAGCCAAGAACCATTACGAAAATTGCTAGGCATGCAGAAAACAGGAAACTGTGACACAAAACAGAAAAAAAAATCAATAGAAACAAACCCAGAAATGACATATAAGATGAAACTAGCAGGAAAAAAAACTAAAAAGGTATAACAAATTTTACCATATCTCTAATTAGTAAAGGAATGCTTAACCACAATGAGGAGAAAAGGAAGATATAAAAAAGACTCAAATGGAACTTCTAAGTTTTAAAAATATAGCATCTATAATAAAAAAATACTCTGGATACTATTAACAGCAGCACGTGAAAAATGTATTGGCTGAGACTAACAGCAGAGTAGATAAAACAGAATAAATTGTCAGAACAAAAGAAACTATCCAAAATGGAAAATAGAAAAAACGAAGACTAAAAATAACAATGAACACAGCATCAGTGATACATGATTCCTTATCAAGAAGTCTCTATATATGCAATTGGACCCCTGGAGGAAAAAAGGAGAGGCAAAAATAGTAGTAGAAATAGACCCACAATTTTACCAAATTTGATGAAAACTATAAACCTACAGATCCAAGAATTTCAGTGAACCACAAGTAGAATTTAAAAAAAAAGATCTATACCATAGCACATTAGAATCAAATTGCTGAAAACGAATGAAAGAGAGAAAATCTTAAAAGCAATCAAAGGTTGGGATGGAGGCAGATAAGAAGTACAGCAGATTTGTCCAGATAATGTGCAGGTCAGGAGTCAACAAAAAAACTTTTTAAGGTACTGAAAATAAAAAACAAAAACAAAAATAAACCATGTCAACCTAGAATTCTCTCTATACTCAGTGAAATTCTCTCTCAAAATAGAAGATGGAAAAGAATCAACTTTTCAAAGAAACAAAAGCAAATAGAATTGATTACTAATGGACTTCCACTACAAGAAATGTCAAAGGCAGTTCTTCCACAGAAAGAAATAATACCATAGGAAATTAAAATCTATATAAAGAAATTGAAGAGCACCAAAAATGGTAAGTATGTGGTAAATAAAAAAGATATTTTATCACTTTAAATTCAAATATAACTAGATGTTCAAAGCAGAGAAATAACAATATACTATGAATTTTGTAGTTTTTAAAAAACAAAACACATGATACAGCACAGCACAAAGGATTAGAAGAGTGAAATGGAACTATGCCATTGTAAGAGTTCCTAGTACTAGCTCTATATGTCTAGAAAAAAATTCCTAGATTAAATTAGGAATTTAAAAATTTAGATATAGAACTTTACATAAAAACTTTGGAAACAAATCCAGGATCCTTAAAAATGATTTAATTCAATATCACACTTTCAACAATGGATAAATCATCCAAACATAAAACCAATAAAGAAAACACTGGACCTGAACAACACGTTAGACCAGATGAGCCTACTAGACATATATAGAACATTTCACCCAACAGCAGCAGAACACACATTCTTCTCAAGTGCATGTGGAACATTCTCCAGGACAGATCACACGTTAGGCCACAAAACAAGTCTTAATAAATCTAAGAAGAATGAAATCATACCAAGCTTGTTTCTGGCCACAACGGTATGAAACTAGAAGTCAATTATAAGAAAAAACTGGAAAATGTACAGATATATAGAAATTAAACAACATAAATAAGTGGAAAAATATTCCATACTCTAGGAGTGGAAGAATTAATGATTGTCAAAATGACCACACTACCCAAAGCAAACTATAGATTCATGCAATTTCTAACAAAGCTACAATGGCAATTGTCACAGAAAAAAAAATCCTAAAATTTGTATGAAACTACAAAAAGACAATGGATAGCCAAAATAATTGAAAAAGAATAACAAAACTGGAGGCATCACAATTCCTGATGTTAAAGTATATTAAGCTACAGTAATGACAACAGTAAAGAATTGGCATAAGAATAGACATATAGGTCAGTGGAACAGTATAGAGAGCCCAGAAATAAACTCCTGCCCTATAGTCAATTAATTTATAACAAATCAGTCCAGAATATACTGTAATAAGTGGTGTTGGGAAGCTCGACGGCCATGTGCAAATGAATGAACTAACCCTCTATCTTACACCACACAAAAATCAACTCAAAATGGTTTAAAGACATAAATATTAAGATGTGAAACCATAGAAGTCCTAGGAGAAACAAGCTCCTTGACATCGGCCTTGGCAATGATTTTTTGAATTTGACACAAAAAGCCAAGGCAACAAAAGCAAAAATAAATAAGAGGGATTACTTCAAACTAAAAGATCTGCACAGTCACAGAAACCAGCAACAAGATGAAAAGGCAACCTATGGAATGGGAGAAAATATTTGCAAATGTGCAAATCTAATGAAATTTGCAAATCTGATTAGGGGTTAACATCCAAAATATACAAGAAACTCCTACAACTCCATAGCAAAAAAAATAATCCAAGACAAAAATGGGCAAATAATCTGCATAAACATTTTCCCCAAGAGGATGTACAAATATACAAGGGATACATCAAAGGGTACTCAACATCCCCAGTCACCAGAAAAATGCAAATCAAAACCACAGTGAGATACCACTTCAGAGCTGTTAGGGTGTCTATCATCAAAAAGACAAGATATAACAAAGTTTGGTAAGGGTGTGGGGAGAAAAGGAATACTTGTGGCACTACTGGTGGAACTATAAGTTGGTTCAGCCATCACGGAAAACTGTGTGGGAGTTTCTCCAGAAATTAAAAATAGCCCTATCCTATGATTCAGCAATCCTATTTCTGGGTATGTACCCAAAGGAAGTGAGCATTACCGCAAAGAGATATCTGTACTCCCATGGTCACAGAAGCATCATTCACAATAACCGAGCTATGGAAACAATTTAAGTGTCTGATGACGGATAAATGATTTGAGAAAAGGCGATAACGCATACAGGCACACACACAGGAATAATTTTTAGCCTTAAAAAGAGGAGGAAATCCTGTCACTTGTGACAACATAAATTAATCTAGGGGCATTATGGTAGAGAAGTAAGCCAGGCAGCATGACAAATACCATCTGGTATCACTTATATGTGGAATCTTAGAAAACAAAGAACAAAATGAACACATAGACACAGAATACAGTGTTGGCTTCCAGGGCCTGAGCATGGAGGAAATGGGGAGAGATTGATAAAAGGATACAAACCTTCAATTACAAGATGAGTAAAGGCTGTGGAGCTAATGTATACCGCGGTATACAGCTGGTAATACTGTACCGTATAACTGAAATTTGTTAAGGGAATAGGATTTAAGTGTTCTCACCAAAGCACAAACGAAGATAAATATGTGAGGTGATGGATGTGTCTATTAACTGGATTATAGGTTAGAACCATCTCACAATGTCTACTTTAATCACATGTATACTTTAAATATATTACAGCTGCTCCCTCTGGGGGATCGTGGACTCTGGCTTCAAGGAGAGCATTGCTCACAGTGCTCAGCCAGAGGCAAGGAGGCCCAGGTGGCCTCTTCAGTGCATCCCACTGTGGGGCAGCTACCTGGCCCACCTGCCCGGCCTGAGCCTACTCAAGCGCCCCAGCTGAGGAGGGTCCTCCTGGATCTGAGAGTGGACTTTGGTCACAAGGAAGCCTCATGGGGTGCAAAGGTAACTCATCAGGGAAAGGATGGAGGACTCTGAGATGGGGGCTTCGGGCTGGGGCTGAAGATGCTGTAGGTGCTGGAGCATCCTTGCTGAGCACTACCATGCCCTACGACCTGCAGGTATGACCTGTAGGTATGACCCTCTACCTAGCTCTTACCAGCTACAGGAGCTCTGGCCCCACAGTGATCGTGGCCTGCAAAGCCCTGTCTGGGAAGGGCCCAACATGGTCTACACCGACTCAGTTGGCACCACTGTGGAGACGTTATCATCCACCCCAGCAAGAATGTCATCCACACCAGAAATTCTGTGGAAGGGGCCGAGAGAGAGATCCAGCTATGGTTCCAGAGCAATGACCTGGTGGACTGGGCACACAAGAACCACCCCAGCAGCATTTACCCAGCCCGAGCACTAAAGGTGCCTTCAGCTGCACCAGCACCCACCCAGGACAAACTACCTCTGTGAACAAGAACTTGAGGCCACATCCACATTCTGCTCATCTGTATAAATTACCTCCCTATCTACCTCCTGCTCTAGCCCAGCCCACAGGAGTCTGAGCTGTGACCTTTCTGTGCTTTTCAGTGCTCTAAGTCAGCAAGATATTGGGCCAAATCCTTTCTGTGCCAGACACCTACGATTGTCTCCAGAAGCAGAAAGAGTAATCTCTTCCGACCAAAGGGGGAACACTAAAATTCACTATGCTGTGCAAAACAATAAAAATAAAAAATAAAAAATTACAATTTCTCAATTATATCTCAATAAAGCTGAAAAATTACTTTAAAAATGGGAAAATAATTAATGAGAAATTGGAAATTAAAGAGAAATAGAACTAATATGGTAAAGGATATTAAAGTAGCTTAAAGAATATAACGTTAAAAATGTATACAAAGAAATCTGGAACTCTCTAGTTGATGGAAAATCTT